CTGGGTTAAGCTCGGGATTTGGGGCACGACAGAAGCCAAAGTTGGGTCAACGCTGGGTGGTAAGTGGGCATGGGAAGAAGCGCTGAAGAAGGCGCTGGGGGTTCGTCTGGAGGCTCAACTTTGACTAACTTAGGGTCCTCTTTCCCTTCCCCTTCCCAAACCTTCTGCGCTCGGAGCTCAGAGCATACCGGCGCATCCCCCAACACCCAGGCGCAAACTTACCCTGTTCCACTGCAGCTGGAAAACAATCTAGCTAGAGGCGCAGGGGGATCACCGCCCTAGGTGGCCTCCCAACTTAGCTCTTCTGAGGGGACGCTCCTACTTCTAAAGAACCCTTTTTTCAAAAATAAATAAAAAATAATCAAGCGTCGAGAGTTGACGTCCGCCCACGTGAATGTATTATATAAAGCGGCTCCAGGACCCGCGGGCTTGAGAGCCCTGATACTTTGCACCTCTGCCTCGGCGACCTCAGGGCCTGACCCAGCCGAACCACCTGGGGGTGGGGAGCGATCCAGTGACTTGTGCCCTTGGGCCCGGGTCGTCTGGGAAGCTGAAGCCGGGGCGTGAAGTTAGGAGTCCTACCGGGCTGGGATCTCTCCGAGGCGCTTCCGTTGGGTGTTCATTAAGGGGTGAGTTATTGCGGTGCGAGCCAAAGGTCACTTCAAAGGCTTATGGCTGCGCGCTCTGGTCTTTAGAGCGCCCTGAACGCTTTGTGTGGGGGCTTTCCCGGGTGCAGTTTAGTGTTTGCAAACTACTGAGTCGACAAATTGCACAGGGCAGATGCAAGAGGGAGATCGAGTCTCTCTCCTTTCACCTGACAGGGGGCCAACACCCGCTGAGCAGCGGCGGTGGTGGTTAGACTGTTCTTGTGTTGAGAGTGTAGGTGGAAAGGATGTTTGTATCTTTGGTGGTTTGCAGCCTAATCCCAACACTGGAGTGAGCAGCCCAGACCAAGCATGTGGTGGGTACTTACTGGAAAAATGTCTGGAAAACCATTTAAGATAAAGTTAAAATGTAAAAAGTGGGAAACAGTGTGCAGCTCCTTCTCAACAGTGTAGCCCCTGACTAGGATGCTCCCAGATACATCTACATAATTACTCTCCTTTCCTGCTGTCCTAAGCTGTCGCCTGGCTCTCTCCCTCCATGATTCTGCACAGTCCTCTTCTGCTCGTTAGAGGGTTGGCTTGGTCTCTGGGTTTGGAAGCAGGAGCATTTAGCTTGGTGGGGGCAGGAGGAGAGCTGACTGCTTCCCCCACCACTCCATGGCACACCTCTGACCCACTAGGGTCACCCCCTGACAGAGAGCCTGGCACTTTCCTCAGGTCCAAGCTGTCCCCCATTCAGCCAAGGACTTTGGTGTTTAAGGCCTCTAGCTCCCCAGGAGCCAACTGAGTCTTCTTTCTGCTGGGGAAAAGGCTTCAGGAATGGCTGCAGGCACCACATACAATAGTCACATTGATTATGGCACTCTTAAAGGGGGTAAAGCTTCTCCGCGTGTTTCTAAGAAAGAAACGGCTGCTATTGAGTTTTCCATTTTGTTCCAGATCTGCCTCCACAGAATATCAAAAGAAACTGAAGAGCCTACAAAAAGAGTTAGAAACAAAATTCAAGAAAACACACATACAAATTTGTGGTGAGTGGGGATGATTTTTAAAAATAATTTCCACTACATTTTCATTTGTCCTACAACTCAAGTAGCCATCTCAGGATTCATACATCAAGACATAAAACAAAGGGCAGCTTTGAAGTGGATCACCTCAGTGTGAACTGTCGCCTGTTACATGATAACTGATCATCCGCCTTCAAATTTATGGCACTTTAATGGGGTGAGCACAGTGCCTTAAATGCAGGGTATAGTACAGTATTAAGTTATCTGGGCTATATAAGAGTGATTTAGAATGTGCATTCCATAGTACAGAAGAGGCTTGGGCTGAAAGAGAGGGAGAACTTGGACAAAACATAAACAAACCCCCTTCTGAGCAAACCTGAAAAGGAGTGGTTTCCAAAAACCTGAAGTGGCCAGGCCATCGGGGAGAGGAGAATCGTTGCTCGGTTCCAGTGAATTTAACAGGGATGTCCATCAAGAGTACTGGCTGTCAGAAAGAGATCCGCGGGCTTCTGAGGCCCTGGGATAGGCAGAGCAGGGAGAGAAGCCGGAGGCCAACTCGAACCTTAAAGAATTTTGAGAGAAACTGACTCAACCAGCACACCATCACCTCCTCCTTCTCTTTCGGCTTGCACAGATTGAGTGTACCCGTCCGAATTTACTAGGTTGCAACAGGAGACAAAACCGGCGACTGTATGTCATCCCCTCCCTTCTCAAACCTCCTCCTCCCCCTGCCTTCCCGCGGCCACCGCGGGCGAGCGATCGCCAGCAGGCCTCTGCGTGTCGGTGGTGCCTCCCGGTGTCCGAGGCCATGGCGGGCAGCAGGTCTTTGGTCCTCTGCGAAGCTGCGCGTCCCATCCCGACTCCGGCCGAGGAGCAGAGCTGCTCGCAGAGGCCGGCGCCGGCTACTTTATATAATCCCGCTGCTCGTAGGATGCATGAGCGGGAAAAGTGCGGAGTAGGGAATTCTTTTGCTGCGCTGCCTCCTACGCGGAGCCTGCTTTCCACTTCTGAAAAGTGTCCGGCCTTGGGAAGTGTTTTTCTTTTCATTCCTTACTGAAGCGTTTACTGCCGCCGTGGTCGCAGTCATAAATTTTGTTACAAACCACAATGACAGGTGCATTGATATGCACCGTGAGAGCTCCAGCTGCTTAATAACCCCGTCCCCTGGCCGCTGTGAGCGCCTTTTATTTATTCGGTATCATATTAGGTATTGATCCTGGGCAGAATTAAGTGCAGTGAGCAAGTATCGGGGCTCTGCTGCTTCGGAATAGCGGCGGAAACTGCAGGACAGCGCGGCCAGGGAGCGGGTGATGGTGGCTTTGAAGACGCCATTCTTCTGGCTGGAGACGGTTTGGCCCTGGGTTCCGGGCCTGCGGTTAGGTCTCCCAACTGAATTGAGCAATTTCCAGGGACCTGGAGAAAGGACTAGCCAAACCCATTTGGCATTCTTCCCCAACAGGGACAGGGGATTGAGCGGGAAGGGATTGGGGCGACTGCTACGTCCCATTCCTTGGGCTGGGGGAGGGGTGGAGAGAGAAGGAGGAGGAAGAGGGAGAGGAAAGGATAACTGAGGACTTTGGGAAAAATACCAATCCCGGTTCATCCACCCCTCCCCCCAGGGGCTTGTCTTTACCCCCAAGGCATTTGGGTCTTGGATCCCAAATGAGCAAAGGTACCAAAGGGCGAGAAAAGAAAGCCTTTAAAAAACGGCTGGGGGGTGGGTGATGGAAAAGATGAGCCACTGAACAGTTGACCATTGTCCAAGTGATTTATGACCCGTTCCTGCTTTTTAGGTTCAAGCAGAGTTCACAAGGAGTAGTGATTTCTGGAAAGAAATAAGCCCTTCAACCAGTTTCATAACAATAATCTCAGGTTTTGCTTTAGGAGAGGGGAGTTCTTTGGGACACTGAATAGTCTTTTCCCAGTGAGAACAGCACAACTTGTGCCCTTATGGGGAAATGGACATGGACGTAAGGTAGTGGATCATGCAAACAGGCAGAAGAACAGACTATGGTTACTCAGGAAGCTACCCAGGGCTTGTACTTTTGAGGTCTGTACACAGAGTTTTCTCCAGGCATATGTTACAGGAAGAAATATGAACACAGTTACCTATCCATAGACCTGCTCAGTTCATAAATAAGCTATTTTGATGTGACTGCTCCACGTATTAAGGCAAACTTGGTCAAGTTGGGAGGTAGGAGGGGGATGTTTTGGTTCCAAAGTTGTCAGTGGAATGACAGAAGCAGTAACAAGTTCTGGTGGTGTCTGATGTGACCATTTAGACTTCCAGAGAGTTAAGACTGGAAGCAGCATCCTAGGAAAGTCCTGACATGTAACCAGTCTAGTCTTTTGGCCCTGGGGGAAAACACATGAAAATATTAGTCACAGGATGAGGAGTTAGCATCCATTTGATATTCAGTAACTTTAACAGTCAGAGACTAAGAAAATTCATCAAAAAATTAAATCTAGCTTTGTTAAATAGATAGCCTAACTGTGTATATTTACAAACACTAATGGAAACAATTCCTACAACAGTTATGTCTTAGTGTTTTAGAATCCCATTGAGAAAAATCTTGTCTCACATCAAGACAAATGGCACATTCATTTAGATTCTAAAACAAAATGGGGGACAATACTACTTAAAACAGCTTATTTGAAGAACTTTTCAAATTGGTTAGGCTTTTTGGTGAAAGTGGATGGAAAATGAGTGCATGGAGAAGTGATGTTGGTAATATGGTCAAATCACTTCAGCCACATAAGCTGTCTCCAGAATGTGGTCTATCATGATGAAACCAGGGGGAGTTTCTGGAAAGTTGTCTGAAGGATGAGATCAAGAATTAAGACCAGGGAGCTGACCTGTGAGTTTTCTTTATCAAACAGACAAAAGTATTTGAATGGTATTAGTTATACTTTAACTCCTCAGGGGTCTTTCAAGAAGAAGGGAGGGGGGATCTAGGAGAGAAATCTCCCATCAAAAGTCAGGGGATACAAAAGGGGTAGACTTTTTCTTGTTTTGTGTTTTCCCTTTTTCTTCTTCTTCTTCTAATCCTGGGTCCATTCAATTATGCCATGACAGGTTCTCTTATTGGTTGTGGACTGGGTGGAAAGTAGGTGGAATAGATAATCCAGGGCAGAGGTCAATTATATCTATTTATAGAATAGATCCAGGGTAAATATGATAAAGTTATAATATAAATTATTCTCCATTTACCCATGCTACATCCATTTAAAATTCTAAAACCCTTTAACCATTTCCATGGTGTCCCTTTAAAAGTAGTAGGAACATACTGTATCAGGTCTAGAAAAATGTAGATAAAAGGAAATAAATGTTTTTTAACCTCAAAATAAGTCTGGGAATCTTTAAGTGCTCTTCTTGGTTTTTATCTTCTAGCTTTCTGCATTGTAGATCTCACAGAGCTGACCCACAGAATTAATTGAGCGAATTCTCACCCTGTCATTAAAAAGTGAATTATCTGCGTCTTCATGAAAGATGTGGTGATTTTGAAACTAGGTGGGTAACATACTTTGGGGGAGGGTTTTGACAGTTCTGAGTGTGTTGTAGGGCTTCTTTTGTGCATTAAAACACTAGGATTATGGGTTTGGGGTGTAGTTTGGTGGTTGGGCCCTGTTTAGCATGCAGGAGGCCCTGGGTTTAATCCCTAGCACCAAACATACAAAGAGAGAGATTACCCAATGACTGATTGATTTACCCATTCATTCACTCATTCATTCAACAAGCATCTATTGCAGTTAGCATATGCAAGGCATTGAGATGATGTTATAACTACATAGATAAATGAGACACAGTCCCTGCCTGCAAGAAGCTCACAATTTAGGGGTTTAAATGAGGTAGTAAAATGTATGAGGCCATAGGTTTATTTTCATGAAGGCTCAAAGGCTGAATTGAGCCACAACTCCAGCCCCTGAATTGACAGTGTTGAAGAAAGAAAATTGTATCTGGGGGTGGGAGGAAGCCCCTTCCCTAGATTAGAGTTGAACTAAAGGGAAGAAAAGGTCTTTTCTTACATTTAGGTGAAATTCCTTTAGACTTTTCCAGGGCTCAAATAAGTAAATCCCAGATTTAGAACCTTACCCATTCCTCCAACACAAAGTGGGTAGGAGGCAGAGAACCTGGGCTAGTCCTTCTATATTGACTGGTCTTGCCAATGACAGTTCCTCTGGGCCCTCTCACTTTTCTTCTTGTCAGGTCACCTGGAGTTCGGGGCCTGGCCCAGCTCTCTCAGGATTCAGCAGACACTGGAGGTGGTGGCCAAGGACACAGTGGTAGTCAATGTTATTTGAGCAGGGTCAGCAGGCCCTGGAGCTTCTGGAGTGCACCATGCAGAAGGCTGCATACTATGAAAACCCAGGACTCTTCAGCAGCTATGGCTACAGCAAAGCCACTGATACTTATGGCTACAGCAACCCTCATCAGCCCTATCCACCCCCTACTGCTGCCAACTCCCTGGACACTGATTATCCAGGTTCTGCCTGCTCCATCCAGAACTCTGCACCTCTTCGAGGCCCAGGCCACAAGGGGGCTGAACTCAATGGCAGCTGCATGAGACCTGGCACTGGGAACAGCCAGAGTGGGGGTGGTGGCAGCCAGCCTCCTGGTCTGAACTCAGAGCAGCAGCCCCCACAGCCCCCACCTCCACCACCCACCCTGCCCCCTTCCTCACCCACCAATCCTGGAGGAGGAGTTCCTGCTAAGAAGGCCAAGGGTGGGCCCAATGCTTCTAGTTCCTCAGCCACCATCAGCAAGCAGATCTTCCCCTGGATGAAAGAGTCTCGACAGAACTCCAAGCAGAAGAACAGCTGTGCCACTGCAGGTAGCTCTCTGAGGGGACCACCCCTAGACCAGGTCCCCTGTAGAATGGCCCCAGGAAGCCCCAGTCACTCAGGAACCAGGAGACTCAGAACTTTTAAGTGCAACCATGGAGGTCAAGGTCCAAAATCCTACTCCTTTTAATGTTTATGATTGGGATCATACCCTTGCAGTGACAAGGTGCTCACTTCCACTCTGGGCTGCTAGTGCCATTGCTGGACAGGTCTCATATTTATTAATAAGAGCTTTTTCTTATACTGACAAATTATCTGCTTTCCTGAGCTTCTGGTTATAACTCAGCTCCCACCCACTTCCATCCAACATCTCTTTAAATTTTGAAGACAGAGCCTGGTGCAGTGGCACCTGCCTGAGGTTCCAGCTACTGGGGAGGCTGAGGCAGGAGAATCACTTAAGCCCAGGAGTTTGAGGCCAGCCTGGGCAACAGTGAGACTCTGCCTCAATTTTAAAAGAAAGGAAGGGCTGAGCATGGTGGCACTGTAATCCCATTTGAGAGAATGAGGCAGGAGGATTGAGAGTTCAAAGCCAGCCTCAGCAACTTAGCAAGATCTGCCTCAAAATTAAAAGGGTTGGTAATGTGGATCAGGGGTTATGTACTCCTGTGTCCAATCCCTGGTACAAAAAAAAAAAAAAAAAAAAAAAAAAAAAAAAAAGAAAGGAAGGAAGGAAGAAAATAAAATTAAAAATTGTAGACAGGTAATATGATTCCTAAGTCCAGGTGTTTATGTAGCCCATATCCTATGAATCCTACTCCTTTAAATTAACATGAGTTAATGTCTAAGGAGTATTAAGAACCACACCAAGAACTTTGCAAGCATTCTCTAATTTTTTCAAAGAATACTTTGAGGGTAGGTATGTGATAACATTCTCATTTTATAGATAAAGAAATCATTAGACAAAATGCAACTTGCCCAAGACCACAAAACTGTAAAGCGGTGGATTTGAATCCACTTGATTTCTAGGCCTATAAGGCAAAGCCAAGAGACTCTACTTGGCTTATCCCAGCCCAATTCTCCTATTCCAGCAAATCCATTATGAGGAAGCTCATGTCCTAGGGGGAGAGGATATTCTGGGAAACAGGAGCAGCCTTGGATTTCACTCCTTAAAAGGGAAGACCCTGGAACTGAGAAGGTTTTCTCTAGGTCCATCCAGGGCATGTAGAAGATGGGCATGGCCAGGAGTTCTGACACCTGCTCCTTTTCTCTGCTCAGACTGATTGGTTCCTGAAATGTTCTGGCCTTGTGTTCTCTAACAGGGTTTATTTTTAGATAGATGAACATGCTTCCAGGTCCAGGGCTAGTTTGAACCCTGGGATGTGGCTTGTTATCAGGTCTCTGGTTGGTCTCCTGCTCCCTAGGGCTGCTACTGCTAGGGGGAAGGTGTCTTCCTGCCTGTAAGCTTCTTCTTCTGCTCCTCCCTCCTCAGCTCAGGCTCAGGCTCAGGCCCTCCCTCCCAGGAGAAATCCATTTGTCTTCCCAGTGAGGGAGTAGACAAGCAGCTGAGAGGTGTCAGGGGTGGTGGAAGCCAGTGTCCAGGCACTGCACCTAGCACTGCCATGCTCAAAATGCTTCCAGCCTGGTCTTGGGACCTCTAAAACTCCGGGGCAGTATGTTAGTACTTTTGGGGGTGGGATTATCACCTCCTTATCTCTGGGTGCAGCTGGGATACAGTGAGGTATTAAGATACCACTCCCATTATTTACTCCTGCAGGGTGCTTTGCCCAGGAGCCAGCCTCTAAGCAAGGCAGGCTGGAGATCCCCCCACCTCCAGGAGCAGCAGAGGGTGGGAGGAGTGTTCAAAGAAGTCTGGCCTTTCTTCAGCACGGGGGAGGCCTTACCAGCTGCTCCTAATCTCTCATTAAAGTCCTTCATGGCCTTTGGGTGGAGATGAGATGATGGGTTAGAATGGAGTGGGAAGGGAGGGCACAGTGAATAGGACTTCAGAAGGCGGATGGAGGTTTCAGGTGCGACTAATAGGTAGGCCTGGGGTGCGGAAAAGCGAGTTCCCCCTCGGAATCTCACAGCCCTTTATTCGCCCCAGGATTGGAAGTGAAGGAAGTAGTGGAGGAAAATGAAGCCAGGGAAGCACCCCTCTCCATTCCTAAGGGTTCTTATCCCCTCGCTCAGCGCCCACTCTCTTTCCCTCCCTTGTCTAGGAGAGAGCTGCGAGGACAAGAGCCCGCCGGGCCCAGCGTCCAAGCGGGTGCGCACGGCATATACTAGTGCTCAGCTGGTGGAGTTGGAAAAGGAATTCCACTTCAACCGCTACTTGTGTCGGCCGCGTCGCGTGGAGATGGCCAACCTGCTGAATCTCACCGAACGCCAGATCAAGATCTGGTTCCAGAACAGGCGCATGAAGTACAAGAAGGACCAGAAGGCCAAGGGCATCCTGCACTCGCCAGCCGGCCAGTCCCCAGAGCGCAGCCCGCCGCTCGGCGGCGCCGCGGGCCATGTGGCATACTCTGGCCAGCTGCCGCCGGTGCCTGGCCTGGCCTACGACGCACCCTCCCCGCCCGCTTTCGCCAAATCGCAGCCCAACATGTATGGCCTGGCCGCCTACACGGCGCCGCTCAGCAGCTGCCTGCCACAGCAGAAGCGCTACGCTGCGCCCGAGTTCGAGCCCCACCCCATGGCGAGCAACGGCGGCGGCTTTGCCAGCGCCAACCTGCAGGGCAGCCCAGTGTATGTGGGAGGCAACTTCGTCGACTCCATGGCGCCCGCGTCCGGGCCGGTCTTCAATCTGGGTCACCTCTCGCACCCATCTTCGGCCAGCGTGGACTACAGTTGTGCCGCGCAAATTCCTGGCAACCACCACCATGGACCATGCGACCCTCATCCCACCTACACAGATCTCTCCGCCCACCACTCGTCTCAGGGACGCCTGCCCGAGGCCCCCAAACTGACACATCTGTAGCGGTCGCCGTGGGCCCGAATTCGCGGCGCAATTACCTCTTTTGCTTTGGTGGTGGTGGGGAGGGGTGGCGAGTGGGGCCCGCGGGGCAGTTCGGAGATCCCCCTTTCCCGCTCTGGCCCAACCATCAGCGGCCAGAGGCATAGGTGACCGGGCCTCCCCTCCGTGCGCGTCCTCCTTTGGGTGACTCGCCATAAATCAGCCGCAAGAATACTCCCCCCATAAGCCTGACAGTGCCATATACTGCGGACCGAGGGACTCTAATCTGGTAATAGTGCCCCGAAGGTAAGTCTGAGACCCATCGGCGGCGCGCCCTGCAGAGGCACTAGAGCCTGGAGAGTCCTGGGCCTGGCCCGCGTCTAGCTTAGTTTCTGAGACCTTAATTTATATGCTCCTTCCCATCCTGTAAGGATTGCATCGGACTAAACGATCTGTATTTATTATTTGAAGCGAGTCATTTCGTTTCCCTGATTATTTATCCTCGTCTTAATGTATTTATATGTATATTTGTAGAATTCTCCAGCCGAGCTTAGGAACGCGCTCCCAGGCCATGGGGGCCACATTTCACCTCTTTAGTCCCTTGGTCTGAATTAGTTGAGAGAGTAGTTTTGAACAGTTGTAACCGTGGCTGATGTTTGTAGTTGATGTAAAGGATTAAGACCACAAATTGTCCTTCATGGGTAGAGTCAGGCAGCCCAGTGGCATGGCATGACACCCGTTAGTCATTTCTCAACAGCCGCAGCCCTCACCACTCGACACAGTTTAATGATGTCAAATTGTCTGGTACTATTTGAACAAATATTTAGAATAAAAAATTTTCTCGGTTGGAAGTGTATCTGTGTTAATCACACACACTTGCAAGCAGATCACTTTGCCTATATCTTTCACACAATCCCAGTGGAAGGCTTTATGAAAGATTGACTCTTTGAAAAACATCATTCTATTAATTTGGAATCTGCTGCACCAGTTGGTCTGGGAGGTACTCCATTATTTCATTCTAGCTATTGATATGGTGGGGGGATCTGAGGATGCAAACCTAGAAATGTTCTGGGTGGGATGACTGGGATAGGGTTTTGCTAAAGCAGAGCCTGCTTTGCTGTTTCTACCACCTTCTTTCTAGATACAATCTAATGTTACATTAGAGAGGCCAGAGCTCATTTTTCTGCATTAAGTAATAAAAAATAAACTTTGAAAGAAAACTGACAATCAAAGACAAGATACAAGAGAAGTTGTAAGAAGAATTGTGCTTTGAAAAAGCTAAGGTGCATGGGGGAAAAGTCTGATCATTTGGAGACAGGCACCCAAGCTTTTTCTCTAGGAAGCGTTGTCATAAATTTTTCCTTTGTGGTAGTTTGTAGTTCATTTCTAAAGAAAAACAAATGTTCTCCACGATGTAAAGTAATAAAAGTTTCATTAATGGAACATAACACGTATAAACACCTTGTTTACTCCTGTTTCTTTGTACAAAAGGGGCAAAATGTCTTCAAAGATTTATAACCGTTTTTGTAAATATTAGCGTGGCTCAAGCTAGGGACAGACAACTTGCACCCAATTCCATGGGAGGGGGGCACTTGGAAAATGCATTCAGATAAGGTTTAATTCTTTTGTATTTCAGCAAAGTCGGCCCACGCATCTCTGTTTGATTTGACAAATAATGCAACTCCTACTACATCCCCTGTGACAGGAGGTGAAATTCCTATCGTGTGGAAATAATTTAACTTCTTCTGGTGGAACAACAATCGTTTCTATTTGGATGTTTGTGTTTCGCTAAGTAATGATGGTTCAAAATATTTAGGTTTTTTTGTTCCTTTGTGCTGTTTTTAAAATGGCATGTTAGGTTGTGGTGGGAGGGGATATCTTTTTGCTAAATTTCACTTTATCTGAGCGGGGTTTAAAGTATATATGTTGTAGAAGTGTATCAACAGAATAAATGACTTCAAACGAAGGCATATTTTACCCATTTTCAAGATTTAACATTGTTTTATATGAAATTTGCATCCATAGGCAAAATTTCTAATTGTCTTGTAAGAAATTATTTTTTAAGCTATTAGGGAAATCAAAGAAAAGCTCGCTGCCTTGCAGGGATTACAACCACCTTTCTTAACTGGCTAAATATTAAATAGATGAATTGTCAGGCTGTTTAGATTCAGCCCGGTTTTCCCTCATCTCCTCTTCCTACCATAAATAATAATAAAAATACATAATGCATCATGGCTCCAGGCGTTTTCCAGCGCGGTGTGTTACCGCAGGAGTATCTGCTGAGTCTGCGGGTGTCTGCAAAGCCCCAAGCGTCATCTGTGGCTTAGGGTTTCATGGATTAGACTTTAAAAGGTGTCTAGCTGGGCTGACAACAGCTTCCTCTCATACTCAAGCTCCAAGGAAGTGCGGGGTACATACGGGCTCCCTCTCCAGGCAGCCACAGCCTCCCGAGGCCCTCCTTTTGAGTATGTGGGGTGGGGGTGCAGGGGTTCCCTTGCACTAAATCTGCGGCCATCTCCAGGCTCTGGAGGTTCCTGAGACTCCATCCTTTCCTGTTCTTGGTGTGAGTCATGTGATGGGGAACACTCGGTCGCTCCGAGCGGCTGGGGGAGGCGTTGAGTCCTGGGAGGGCGCGCTCCCATGCGGCCGCCCGCCCGGGTTAGAGCTGGGCCCGCGGCACAACCATTTAAAACTTCATAAATTATAAACAAGCCGCCTTGGCCTTCGCCATAAATTCCGCTCCTCTTGAACCTGCAATTAGTGTTAGGAAAGACCCAAATCTAAACAAAACCGTACGCTCTCTGAAGGGCCCAATTGCCCGAGTTGCAAACCTTCATTCATTTCTCAGTGCCACCCTTTCTGCATCCCAGGTTTGCACACAGTAGCCTCCTCCCCCGCCACCGCCGGCGGTGCACACTCGGCTGGGTTCCCGCTCTGAGAGGGAAGGTCACAATAGCTGCTCTATCCGCGGAGGCGCCTGCCTCCTCCCACCCGGGTCTCAAAAGCAAAGAAAGAATAGTGGGGGAGGGGAGCTCGGCCGGCGATGGCGCCCTGGGCCCTGGCCTCTCCTCTTGCCGAGGACCGGCAACGGGACCTGCAGGAGGAAGTTGGCAGGGAAGGAAATCTCCACCCCAGTTCCTGTCTCTCCAGATACGAGAGGACTAGGAGCAAAGGGGAGCGCACCAAGGATTGAGGTTGTTGGAGGCGTCACCGACCAGCACTGTGTTGAGAATGTCCTGAGCAGCTCCGTCCGCGGGGAGCAGGCGCGCCATTATGAGCGCAGCTTCCCTACAGGTTCTGCTGCGAAGGAGGCCATACGTTAGCGGCGCTGGCCGACGCCTGGAGGCGGGGAAGGGTTGGGTTTGCTCGGGGCATTGGCCTCTGGGGGGTATACCTCGTTTGCCCAAGGGGAGGATACGTGTGTTTCGCTGAGGTCTTGGCCAGCTCTGCTTTTGACTGTAGAGAACGTATTGAGAAAGGTGGAGTCAGGGAGGTTGTGGGATTTCTTGAGATCGGAAGAGATCAGGGCTACAAGCCTAGGCCTACGGGTGTAGATGAAGGGTGGCAGTCGTTTGAGCTCCCTGGTTGTTCTGTCCAGGCAATCAAGTGTAAATTAAGGCCGGGTAGAAATGAAGCAGATGGAAAGGCTTGTTACCAATGGGAGTGGAGGAAGAGACTTAGGTGGAGGGAGAGCTTTCCTTGCAACCACGGGTGGGGGGGGGGGCGGAATCAGTACTCAGTTTGGAGTGGTGTGTCCAGACCTTACTGATCTATTCAGGAGTTTGGGGAAGTTGCAGAGGAAAGTGGCCAGGATTACTCTCCAGGCCATTGGTAAGGAGGTAAGAAAGAGTGATTAGGAACATACTCTGTTTTTTGGCTTTCAGACCTCAGCCTCATCCAGGGAACTGACAGAGAAAAATCCACCTCTGATGGAACCATTAAGCTAACTATCCATTTGTACCATTTCTTTGTACAGGATTTCAAATGAGAGGAAGAAAAGAGAATACATAACAAGTATGTTCCCCTTGGTGCAGCCTGAAGCCCAGTCCCTATCAGAGACACGTCAGCCAAATTGGTTTCCAAGGCTCCAGAAGCTGCTAACCTTGCTGAACAAGATTTTTCGAATTTCTATCTGTAAGAAGTATTAAGAGATAGTGATTACCTATACTAGCTACTTCTCCCTTCTCCTTCCCCAGTCTGGACCAGCTGACGTGCCCTTGAGTGAAGTGCATCATCTCAGCCTGCAGGTTTGGGAGCTTAGGCTTTCCATCTGTTGAGACTTTTCATTAGTGATGAAGAGGATGTGTGTGGGTGTGTGTTTGAATAACAAAGAAGTAAGCTTTCTTTCTAGTAACAAGTGCTCCTCTGCCTGACCTGGGGGACAGTCCCAGGCATGTTTTGGCTGTATCCTGAGAGTTAGCTGAAACTTCTTGCTGAAGTCAAGAAGTGGCTAATCCCAGTTACAGATCTAGGAAGGTCCTCTTCATGTGGGAGTTCTTGGCATTTGATCCTTCTTTCAGGAACTGAAAGAAAAAAAAAGGGAGAGAAGAGAAGTTTATGAGTAGGCAAGATGAAAGGTAAAAAGCCCCAGTCCCCAGAGAGTTATAGCCCAATTACTCCTGGGCACAGCAACTTCTCAGAGGATATATTTAGGGCCTTGGTAAGCATACCTATTCCTAGACGCAGTGAGACACTTAGGAAACTGAGATTGGGTTGTCCACAGCCCAGTCCTTCCCATCTTTGAGTGTTGGCTCTCATAGATTTCAATTGGAGAAAGCCCAGATGGAGAGAGAAAGACTGGGCAGATGAATCCCCTGCATTTACTGCATTCCTGGTGCTGTGGAGGATGGTGAACAGAAAGGTCATCCTGGAGGATGGAACCTTATTTCTATTGTAACCTTGTTTTCTACTCTAGCTACAAATGTCCATATTTCGTGGGGTTCAAGGTTGGTGTCAAATGAACTTATATAAATGGCATGAAGCCTATTTTTAAACAGTTCTCTCAGGTCTCACACCCACCTTGGCAAGTTGTAAAGTTCAAAGATCCATTTTTAAGACAGATCCAGTGTGAAGAAAAACAAAAGGTTTCCACACATGAAGAAAGAGCCAAGGTAGCCAAATGTTCAGTACCTTGCAGTAGCAGAGGTGGGTGAGGGGTTCCCAGGACATCTATGAGGTAGGAACATGTGTCCTCTTGGTCTAGATTTTGTGACAAAATATATATTTTTTCATTTATTGGTTGTGGGGATTAAACCCAGGTTGCATTTTGACACTGCGTTACACTCAAAGCCCATAACAAAATATACTTGACAAGTTGCCATAGCTATCTGGCTCATTTTTATGTAAGAAAAAGATATGGGAAAAGCACAAAAGAAGTGCGGTTTTAATATAAGTGAGGGCCAGGGGAGGAGGAGATCTTAGTTTAAATCAGGATTCATGGAAAGCTCTGGTAGATGGAATGTTTTTGCCCGAGAATCAGGGCTTAAATCCAGGCCAGGAGGGCTTGTTGGGCTAGGTGGGGAGAAGAGCGTCTCTGGCTTGTGAGGAGATGGGAGAAGGCCTTCTAATGGCTCTATTGTTCACAGCGCCGCCCTACAAATCCCATAGCCCTCCCTATCTCCTTCACCAGGGCCACGAGGGGACGGGGTCGGACAAGCGGTGCTCTAGGGAGCTGGCACCAACATCCCTGCTCCCTTGGGGCAGTGACGACGCCGTGCCAGTGGCCGCAGAGAACACACAAAGGAAGCCCCGACCCATTCTCTGGACCTGGAGACATCACAAGGGAGGGGACTGGTGCGGACCCCGAGTCAGAGCATTCCTCGGTCCCCCGCGGGGAACAATAGGCGCAGCGGGCCGGGGTGGCTGGGCGGTTTGGCCCTCGCGCCGCACAAAGCCCGCTTGGACCGCGCTGCCACGTGACGTGCGCGCGCGCGGGGGCTGGGGGTGGAGGTCCTGAATCCACCTGGAACACTTTCAGAAAGACAAACGGTGAGTTAATCACCCTACCCGCTGGCGGCCGCGTCCCCTATCGCCCGTGATGAGGCCCGGGAAGGGGCTGGGTGGATTTCAGAGTGTGTGTGTGTGTGTGTGTGTGTGTGTGTGTGTGTGTGTGTGTCTCCAGGGTGGGGGGCGGGAGAGGTTAGTCCTATTAAGAGTTCATCAATCACCCGGTGTGCACTTTTCGCTAGACAGCGGTTCCTCCTATTTCTGAGCAAGTCTGGGCCAGCTGGGAGCCGACCAGAAACCGCAAGCTGGGGAGACGCAGGCGCGCGGGGTGAGCGCTAACGGAGGGCGCGACCCATCGCGCCCGCCCACCGGGGAGCGGTGCAGACGGGGCAGCGGGATCTGCACTCCGGGGACCCGAGCTACCGCCCGCCAGCCCCGCCCTCGAGCTACTCCGGGCGCCTGGCGACTTATTCGCACACCCCCTCACACCCTGCATTCCCCTAGCTCCTCTCCACCCACTGCTTGCCCCAGTGACAGAAGCCCTTACAAGCTGCTTTCTCCCAAGAAAGGGACGAAACCATCTCTGAAGGCAGTACAAGAAAAATCCCAAAGGGTCAGAAGGTTTTTTGCAGACTCTTGTTTAAAAGTTTCTGTTTGCTTGTAGGAGTACTTGGGTGGGAAGAAGTAGGGTAACAAGACCAATGCTGAACTTGGGATAAACTTGAATGCCATTTAAAATAACAATAAAAATACTTACAACACCAGGTACGATGAAAGGTCTCCTTTTTCTACACTAAGGGAAAGACTCTTGAGTATTTTTAGTTCAGTTCTCTTAGGTTCATTTTAGAAGCACCATATACAAATTGACTGGACATTTCAGGGGGCAGTCATTAACTTTACAGCTGTTTGCAAGAAGGAGGGTCTAGGGGGAGTAGGTGGTGAAGTATTCTTATACCCCTTATAGAGTGCCACATGTCATCTTTGTAAAAGATACAAAACTTCTGGCCAAGTCACTCTTTTTGCTGGGTGACAACAGCTTTTTTTTTTTTTGGGGGGGGGGTACTTGGGATTGAATCCAGGGGGCTTTACAGTGGAGCTACTTCCCTAGAGCGCACAGACACACACACATACACACACACACACACACCCTTTTTTAAAATTTTGAGACAGGGTCTTGCTAAGTTGCTTAGGGCCTCATTAAGTCACCAAGGCTGGCCTAAACTTTCCATCCTCCTCCCTCAGCCTCTTGAGTAACTGGGAGTATAGTCATGAACCACCATTCCTGTCACATCTGACTATCTGAAGCATTAAGCTTTACACAGTATCCGGATATCACTGAGCAATGAAAACACTGGTCTTGCAGTTCTTGGTTCAGTCTGTCTCTTTCCCCCTGCCTTTCAGCAAAACCACTGAACAGCTCTTGTGTGCCCTGTGCTGGGCTCTGCAATACAAAGTTGAGTCATTAATGGTTTGCACCCCTCAGTCTAGTAACAGAGAAATAATCCTACAATAATGTCATAGGGCTGGGGGTGTAGCATAGTGGTAGAGCATTTACCTAGCATGCACAAGGTCCTAAGTTAGATCCCCATTACCACAGAACCTCAAAAAAAACCCACCCAAACAAAACAAACCAATGTAATAGGTGCTTTAACAAATGTGCTCAAACTGTTCCTGAAATAAAGAAACCACTAACAGTACTGTAGTGTCAAAAAGACTACTCAGAAGAGGTGAATTGAGGTTCCCCTTAAAGACTGAGTTTTTCAGGCCTAGGAGGGAAGAGCATGCTAGGCAGAGAAAGCAACTCATGCAAAAATGAAGAGGGAAAAAAAAGAACAGGATCTGGACTTAGAACAAGGAGAGTAGTTCTGTTTGAAAAGAGGTTCATTAGAGGAGTCTGGATCTACTCTAGATAACGGGGAACCAGGGAAGGTTTTAAGCTGGGACATGTTATCTATTTTGAAAGCTAACTCTTTGGGGGTATTGTATTTGATTGGAAAAAGGACAGAAGGCAAGAAGAACAAATAAGGATGCTGTTGATATATTCCAGTACAGAGGAATTAATGTAATAAAACTGAAGGGAGATAGAACTCACAGGGCTTGGTGATCAGTTGGAGGAGTAAAAGAGGAGCTGTAGACGTTAATTCCTAGTTTTCTGTTTTGAGGGTCTGATTTGGAAGTCAGGATATTCACCAGAATGAACAGAGGGGGAAGAGACTGCAAGGGAATCTAAGGAGTTCAGTTTCAGGTCTACATTGTATTTTTGGCCTTGCTACTGATACATAGTGTGACCCTAAGCAATCCACTTAATCTTTCTGGACTTCAGATTCATCAGTGAAGCAGTCAATAAAGATATCTAACCTCATAGGTTTATTATTAGAAGTGTATGTGTGGTGGGGGTTATCATCTTTACCAGGTCCAAGTGAGTATCCTATATAAAGCTAAAACCTAGGGGAAACATCCTACTTCATGCTGATCAATACTTAGATCCTGGGTGGCCAGATATAAATAAGTCTCAGGGAAATTAAAAACTATACCACCACCCTACTGCTTCCCAGATATTGAATCTAAGATAATGGTTAGGGCTAGATCACATTGGACTGCTAATCAGAGTCCCTCTGCTTCCACAAGGGTATTCTTAGGAGGATTCCAACAGAAATTTGTTCTTGGTATCAGACCACTAAGAGGAGACCTCTTAGCCAATGTCAAAAAGCTTTTGTGCTTTTTATGTCATATGTCTAGAGGTGATACTAGAAGTCACCCCCTCTCTTTGAACCTCCTTAATCCCTATATGGAACAGAATAGTGTAGGAAATAGTTTTGGACATCTGGCCTTGACTATTTACATTGGATGTGACATGTTGTTTACCTTTTCTGTGTCAATATACTACCATTGGTAAAACAGAACTAAAAAGATAAGGAAGAATGACATTTTGGGAGTGCTCTAAGAGTGCCTAAAAGTTACTCTTTTCCAGTTATCAGGTTATAAAAAATAAACCTTAATATTCCACTGTTAGGTAAGGGTGTTAAGAAACCAACTCTCACAAGTTACTGTTAGAAATATATACTGATTCATTTTAAAGGAGAACAGTTTGGCAAAATGAGTTGCTAGTGTACATACCCTTTGACTTAGTAATTTCACTTATGGGAATTTTTCTAATAGGTAGAAGCTTGAATATGTGCTTGTGATAGTGAAAGGTTGAAAACAAGCTAAGTGCCCATCAGTAGGGACTGGCTAAATAAATTGTGGCAGGTGTATAGTAGAAAAGTATGAAGTCGTAAAATCAGCCAGGAAGTTCTGTATGTATTTATATGGGATCTTCAAGATACTATAGGGGAAAAAGCATGTGTTATAGAATCTGTTTATCATGTTACATTTGTGTAAAAAACTGTGGGGAGATGAACTGTTCAGGTGTAAAGTATCTCTGGAAAGATACACATGAAATTAAGACAATTGGTTACTGATGTGAAGGTGAACTAGACAGCTAGGGTCAAGGGTGGGAGAACGACTTTTTACAGCATTCGCCTTTGAATTTTGAACCATATAAATGTGGATTTATTACCTATTTTAAAAACACAAGAACAATTGTAAATGATTAGTACAAGTATAACTGACTTGGGTATGCCTGTGCATTTTCATATATGTCTTTTCTGTACTTGCTCTATTCATTGAAATTAATCTTGGGACACCTCTTGTTTTGTCCTTCCAGGTCCCTGATGCTGGTCAAACTCAATAGAAAAGGGGATCTATTTTACCCTTGCTTGGTGGTGGAGAGGGTAGAGACCCAGGTCTATGTCTAACTTGTCTTGTAGAAGACTCAGGGTAGAAGTACTGAAGTCTAGGGTGGGGGTTTAGCAAACAAATCCCAAAGGGAGGGCAGTAGGCCTCTCAGTCAGCCCTACTGTGTGGTCTCCCAGAAATAAGGATGACTCCTTTAATACTGTCCTGTTTGCTCAGATTGAGGCCTGCCACAGAACAGAGGAATGCCTGCCTTACTTCTTCCTTTTTGCAGGATGTAGAAAGGCAATAGATTGTGGAGAGTCAAAACTCCCTTATTTTTGGCAGGATGGCAGTGCCTTCTAACTTCTGAGTAAAGTGACTGCCTCTCTAAAATCAAGAGTTTGATGTAGTTTATCTTTAATGTGCCTTTTACCTTTGCCACCTTAGACTGTGAAAGATGAGCCTTTAACCAGAACAAGAATTAATGCTTAGGCCCAAAGACATTTTACCCCTTCTGTATCCCTGGGGCTCAAATGTACCTGCCAGATGAGAGAGATGGAAGAAATGAGTGAGAAATGAAAGAAAATGAGAGTAGAAGACCACCATTCTCACTCCTTCCCTCTTGCCATTGCTTCAGAATCTCTAATTTTTCTCTGGTGAGACTGAAAGAGACATTTTTTTTTTACTTCCCCCCCACCACTGGTATTATCAAAGCCAAGCCAGAGACATGGCAAGAAGCAGAAGTGAGCCCAGTCTCTGCAAAGCACTGTTTGGTCAGTAAAACTTGGGAAATACCTACAGACTGCAACTTCAGGATACATTTTCTGAAACCTTAGCCCATTTGGATCAAAGTTTACCCTTCACATTGACCTCTCTCTCTGCCCTGCCATTCTACAGCTTTCTGAATACTTTACAGATATACTCATGCATTAGCTAGCCATGAGTTTTCACTATTCATGGTTCTTCCCACACAAACATCTCCTTTCTCACCATACTGCATCCCTCCAACTCCCAAAGCAGAAAATTGCAAAATGTGGTTCCAAATAACCTTGCTGAATATCATTCAAGAGGCTTGTTAAAAATAAAGATTCCTGAGTCAGACCTATTGGATTAAAATCTCTGGGAGTGGCCAAGGAATCTGCACTTTTAAACAAGCTTCTATGGTGATACCTACCCACTAAAGTGGTTTTAGGAGTCAATAATCCAAGGATATCCTTTAGCCAGTTTCAGTCATGGTAAAGCATACCACTGTGTCCATTCTTTATTTCTGTCCAAGAAACACTCATTGAATGCTTACCGTATGTCAAACACTAGCTTGACCCTTGAGTCTTTCATCTATAAAGCTCTATAAAGGCACATCACTCTAAAGAAGGTTGTGTTATTAATAAACTTCTAATTGGGTTAGAATTCTTGTCTTTAGGACTTCTTTTATCCCCACCTCTATCCTCAGATGTCTGAAAAGTGCTACAGAGAACTGCATCTTAATCTCATTTCCTTTTATCTGTCAGAAGATAAAAGACCCTCCACCCATATTTACCCCAACAGGCAAAAGACCTTCTATGCTTTGGGGTTGTGGAGCCAAGGGTTTGTGCTCATGACTCCAAGGGGTAGCCCAGTAGTCTTGTGGAAGGGAATTGCCAGGGGCTGGTTAGGAACAACTTTAAACACACATGAGACTAGGTTGCCACCTTCCATCACTTCTGTCTGTGGAAAAGAAGTTTGCTATTAGAATGAGAGAAATGTAGGCATGGAGTAGGGTATGTAATGAGTAAGGTGTGGCTGCTCTGATGAGCAGGATAGGAGAGATTTCAAAGCATTCCTGCATCAAACACAACCTGGCAGTCAGGCTCCTCTGCTATCACCTCCCACAGAGAACTCACACCGTTAGGACCCAGAAGAGAAGTAACCCTTGGGAAATCATGGCTTGAACAAGTATTAAAATTAATAAGACATTTTCCTCATACACTGTGAACATCTAAGACAAACTTTAAAGTTACTCAAAATACCCTATATTCACATTCCTATATACATTTTCCCCAATACTATCTCCCAATCTCTTTTGAGAGAATTAAAGATTGTTTCTTCTGGAATATGGGCTGGAGACATAGCTCCATGGTAGAGCACTTGACCAGCATGTGTGAAACCCCAGGTTCAATTCCCAGAACACACACAAAAGAGATTCTTCTGGAGTAGATTTATAGTAGAGGTAAGACCTATATCAGAAATGAATCTTTTGATTCTTTGGTTTGAGAGTATTTCCTCCCACCCCACTTCCTGCCTAACCTTAGTTGGCAAACATGTATTGAATCATGGTATGAGAGGACTAGCATCTGGACTTCTTGAGCAAGTCAAGAACCTGTCCAGGAATGGAGATGGCAACTCTGAGCCCTGAGGTGTCAGACATGCCAGGGACTCAGAGATTAAAGAGAGTAGCAAGAATGATAATCAGAATGTAACTGTTTGTATGGGATTATCTGGGAACTGCTAACTGGGTCTGAACAAATATCAACTCTTACTTTAACCCCCACTCCTGACTCCCTACTCCCACCACAGCTGTGAAAACAAAAAAGTTTTTTTTTTTTTTAAAAAAACTCTTTTAGTACACTTTCTACTCACTAAATCTCCAAAATTGTGCTTTCTTCAGGGAAATAGTGTGGCTAGTTCAAGGTTGAAAGCTATTTTTCAGCATAGGACTCCATTTTTCAATCAAACCCAAGAACTACAGCACTGCAGGAACCCAGATCCCTTAAGTTTTGTGCTCACCCTTGGGTGTCTGTCCATCCTGCACTTAACCTGGAGACCCTTCAACCTCACCAGCATCTACATTTTGGTGTGGTTTTGTTTATTCACAAGTCTTTCATCCTGTAGACTTGTAAGGAGCTCGCTCCCTGGATTGTCATGGCTTCAATTCTTCAAACTGCCTCAAAATGGAATTTTGGGCAAGGGTAAATCACTCTTTGATGACAAGTGGATCAGTAAAACAATAATAAAACCTCGGTCACCATAACTTAGAGGCTATAATAGATCAATTACTCAAGGGTACTTGAGTAAGCTAAGAGTAGGCTCTTTAGAGTTCTCATTCATTCAAGGTTTTAAGAAACCATCCTCTTTCATTAGTAATGTGTGCAAGTAACCTTTATTTGTTTATTTAACTTAATTTCCCACAGCCCCAAAGAAGAACACATTTTAAAAAATGCTCAAGGAAGTTGGAAAGTTTGTCAATGTAAAGCTTCTCTTTGTAACTCTTCTACTCTTGGTTTCCTGTGCCAATTGCACTTTTATTTCCCGTCTCTCTACACTCAGTAAACAAAACCATATTATCAAGGGAAAGATGTGAGCCCATTAACATTGCGAGCCCTCAGATTTCACTCGCAAGAGACGACGCAGCACTTATCTGATGGAACAGAAGCTTTAATTGCTTCAAGATACAAGCCCATCCAAACCTCTGAGCTCTGACCTGTCCCTGGGAAACCTTTACGCCCTTGAGCCAAGAGCCTTATTGAAAGCGTGAGCAGCCTCCCAAAGAGGTGCATGTGCCAGCCTCCCAAAGAGGTGCACAAGAAGCGGTCCCCCACAAGGGTGATTCTTTATTGTGATGACCTACAAGGCAGAAACTTTATTTTCTGTCCATACCCAAACCTGGCACTACTATATGTGCCCTTATCAGGCTGTCATAAGTTGAAAGGGATGGAGGAAGCTGAAGGGAATGCTGCAACGGCAACGTGAAAAGAAATCTTAGTCAAAAAGTGAAGATTTCGTCTGGCTCTAGGTGCTCTGCACCTACAGCTGGAAGTCCCGTGAGTCGCACCAAGGCGAAAAAGAGGGAAAACCAAACATCTGCTCCAGGTTTTGGAGAGGGATAACACCAGTGTCCAGAAAATCGAAAGAGCGTGGGACGAGGAAAAGGGGTAGAAAGTAACTTTACCTTTCTTGGGGAAGGGCTGAGAGCAGTCCCACAGACCGAAAGTCACGCTCCCATTTAACCCCTTCCACACCGCGGCACCTACAATCCACATCCGAGAGTAGAGCCTTCCACAATCCAGAAGAACAAGCTCTCACCCGCACCAACCCTGGCCCTCTCCAGAGCGGCCAGTCCTGCCTCCCTCCCCCTACCTCGCCCAATACCTGTCTGGGAGCAGGCGCCCCGCCCTTCCACAAGCAGCCCCAGGGCCTTGCCCGCTCTTCCTGGGGCTGGGGGCGATGGGCGGCGGCCCCTGGCTGGTTGGGCTAAGTTGGATGCAGGGCAGGCGCAGGGAGCCGCGCCTGTCGGAACCCAAGCCGTGCGGAGAAGGCGCCCATTGGCCAGCTAGTGCCACGTGGCCGCCCCGGCTAGTATATTAGGCCACTATTTACCTCCGATTCGCTCGCCATGGTTCGGCGAGGGCAGCTCGGGTAGAAAGAAGAGGCGGAGAGGCGCAGACGGCGGCGGTCCTGCCCGGCGTCTGCTGGGTTCCTCACCCGGATCCTGGTCTGACTCCTCAGGACAGTGTGCTGGAACCATGAACTCCTACCTGGAGTACGTGTCGTGCGGCGGCGGTGGGGTCGGTAGCGACGTGCTCACTTTCGCACCCAAGTTCTGCCGCGCCGACGCCCGACCCATGGCCCTGCAGCCCGCTTTCCCGCTGAGCAGCGGCGACCGTGCGTTTGTCAGCTGCTTGCCCCTGGCCGCTGCCCGACTGACGCCTTCTCCCCCAGCCGCCCCAGCTCAGCCTCCCGCGCCGTCCCCTACTGCGCCCAGGTACGCGCCGTGCACCTTGGAGGGTGCTTACGAGCCTGGCACTGCACCTGCCGCTGCGACGGCCGGGGGCGCGGACTACGGCTTCCTGGGGCCCGGGCCCGCCTATGACTTCCCAGGCGCTCTCGGGCGGACGGCCGACGATGGCGGGGCGCACGTCCACTACGCCACCTCGGCGGTGTTCTCCCGTGGAGGCTCCCTTCTCCTCAGCGGACAGGTGGATTACGCGCCCTTCAGCGAGCCTGGCGCCTTTCCCGCCTGTCTCAAAGAGCCAGCCGATGGCCACCCTAGGGCCTTCCACTCTGCGTCCCCAGCCCAGGGCGCCTATCCCAAGTCCGTCTCTCCTACCTCTGGCCTCCCGGCCGCCTTCAGCACGTTCGAGTGGATGAAAGTGAAGAGGAACGCCCCTAAGAAAAGTAAGTCGCTGGACGCTGGATGGAGGCACTTGGGGCTGGGATAGGAGCCTCCCCCGGGGAACTGCTTTGGGAGTGTTTTGCGGCGGTGCCTCCCATCGGAAATACGTTCTGATGCCTCACTAAAACGGGCCAATTTCATTAAGAGTGCCCAGGCTCAGAAAATGTGCCGGGCTTTGAGAATATTAGAGGAAGGAGCTCTTTGTGGAGCATTTCTCCTGGCACAACTGTGTTCATAGAGACCGAGGAGGAGTGCACTATGACTTTGAATTCTAACTCTAGCCCCACTGCTAGCCGGAGTCTTTGCATCCTCTGCCCTCCCCGCTAATGCCTTGTCTTTACGTTGCAGGCAAACTCGCAGAGTACGGAGCCGCTAGCCCCTCCAGCGCTGTCCGCACGAATTTCAGCACCAAACAACTGACAGAACTGGAGAAAGAGTTTCATTTCAATAAATACTTAACTCGAGCCCGACGCATCGAGATAGCCAACTGCTTGCAGCTGAATGACACTCAAGTCAAAATCTGGTTTCAGAACCGCAGGATGAAACAGAAGAAAAGGGAACGAGAAGGGCTTCTGGCCACAGCCACCTCTGTGGCCTCCCTCCAACTCCCCCTCTCAAGAACCGGAACAAGCCCCACAAAGTCTGGCAGGAGCCCGGGGAGCCCTTCTCAGGCCCAAGAGCCTTCATGAGGTCCAGTCTTGAGTCTGAGGAGTCTTGGCCAGCAGAAGTCATGGGGTGCCCCCACCTCTATATAGACTTAGAGCTCAGTTTGGGATGGAGGCAGGTATGGGCAAAAATTAATAGAGATTTCGCTTGGGAAAGGAAATACCTTAGTTGGCTTCTGAATTCCAGGTGGTGTGTATACAGATATTTGATGTCTCTTAAGCAACTTGTTTGCATCTTATTTGTATCTTATCAGGGAAAAGATGCCCAGCTGCCAGCTCAGCTCCACTGCTATGTTGCCTAAATTAATCATATGAAAGGTTTGGGTGCAGGGTGGCAGGCCATTCAATTGTTGAGTTCTGTCAACCCTTTGATGTACTCAGAAGTGCATCTTCCTAATGTTTTTCTAGTTTAATTTAAAGGACAGGCTACATATATTCAGCTTCTTGAATGACCAAAGCCAGTTAGGGTCTCCTTGTTGTAGCTCAGCTGCTTCAATGATGATCTTTACATTTGCACTCCAGTTTTTTTTTTCTTTTAAAAAGCAGTTTCTACCTCTCCATGTGCCTGAGTGAAGATACAATCGCTATTTAGTTTGTAGTTGAACAAATCTACACAGTGGGTGAAGATTAGAACCTGAACTACACCTTGACATCATTTATTCAAACTTGAATGTAAATATATACAGTATGTATATTTTTTAAAAGGTTTGCTTGTGATGAACTTCTATTTGACATTTAATGTCAGCATGTAAAGGGTTTGAACTTTGTTTTGTAATAAAAATTACAGAACCAACTACTCTGCTTTTCTTTACACCCTTTTCATCCTGATTTTTTCTTTGAAGTCGATTCAATTTCTTCTATTTGTAATTCCTTGATTCTGCTATGGGAATGTTTATGTTGACAGCTTTTTAAAATAACCATGCTTACACGTGGAGCACACACAGCAAATTATGGTAAATTATTAATTAAGGGAGAAAACTCTGCCAACTATCCAAGTAAATAAGGAAATACTTTGCTTAAGTACCTTAGTTTTCATGGCAGGCATCTGGACTGCACACTAACTCAAAGGTTAGGTACCCACTATGGGGATGTTGTGAAGCAAGGGAGATACTTCAGGGAGCTCTGTTCCTTTGTCTTCTATCCTCACAGAGGAAGAAGAAAGGAGACCTGAAGACACTGTCTTGGTTAATGCTCTCTGAGAGAGACAGCTGCACATCAAAAAGTACTCAGTAGCTGAATTCCCATTTCCAAAGTCAAGAATTAGAAAGAAGGCTGAGAGAGGCCAGTAGTTAGCACTTTCTACTTCCTGTAAGCCAGGTTAAGAGAGAGCACAGGGGGTGCCTTTCTATTTTTTAAAAATGAAATACTTTCAATTTTTTTTGCAAGAGGTACAAACAGAATCTGAAACTTGACAGGAGGGTATATCAATAAGCAAACCAAAAAAACCTCTAGTCTTATTTTAAGTTGGCCCCACAGTTCTCATCCCTAACCAGACTTTTGTTGACCAGACTTTTGTGTAACATCACAGAAATATGAAGAAGAAGGAGAAAAGAAAGAAAGAAGAAACAACAATGCCAATACCCAAAAGCAAGTGGATACTTGAGATGATTGTTAGGTCATTTTCACCAGTTTGTATCTTTAAATTCTGAATAGTTAATTCAACAGAAAGGCTTAAAGGCCCAAACAAGGGAGATAAAAACCTCAGTTCTCCTTTTAGCTAGATTTCTAGACTCCAGAGCAGTGCCTCAAATCTAATACTTTAGATGTCTACAGAATAGTGGAGGATGACTTTTCCTATAAAACAGTAACATGATTAGTTAGTTGTCTTAGAAGTTTGAAATTATATTTAAATTCTTGTCATCTGTACCCACAATCTAATAGAGTTGAAATAAAATTATCAGCTCTAACAAACTCAGCTGTTTAAATGGAAAGACATCACTTAAAATGTAAGTCTGCCAATATTATTCTTCTGTTCCATTATCTGTCCCTCAGTAACTTCATGCTAATCAGATCTGGTTTAAAACAACAACTCCCCTCTGAGCTCTGCAACTATTTGAAAAGACTTGTTTAAAGACCTGTGATCTGCTCCTTTCCAGCCACCTCCTGGGCTTCCCCTGCAGTGGTGTTTGACATGACAATGTTTCCTTTTTGATAAGCATTCAAATGTACACCTAAACAAAAAAAATACCAGCATGCTTGGTCATTTCCTTAATCTACCACCCTTTCTCTGAGAAAATAAAGCTTTTCCTTTTGAAGCCAGTACTAGCACTTACCAGCCCTGATGGTTGTCTTCCTTGAGGAAGGTGGCTATTTAGATGTACGTATAATGCTGTTCTGTGAATCAGGCCAATATTAGCTATTTTTTGACCAACCCCAGGGAACCTTAAAAGCTTTCTTAATGCAGATCACTATACAGCTATATTCAGTATTAAGAAGAGTCCTGGCTGGAGATTGGGAGGAACTAGGTGACCTTTGGAGGTCCCTTTCAGCAATGAAAATGCTACACAAACAATTTAATGACTTCTACATATTTTATTTTAGGCCTATCATTGGAAGAGAGTTGGGTTGTAGGAAAGCAAACATAGTCTCTAGGATTACATTGATACTGCGTTTATGCAAGAAAAGTGGATTTTAGACATTATCAAATTCATCTTGTCACATGGATCCTTTACAGAACATTCCCCTTCCCATTATTCAGAGCTTTGTGTTATTTTGCATAAGATCTCCATGCAGTGTGAGGTTATTATGCAAACTGTTAAGCTGCTAAAACAAACTCATTTCTATTTTACAAGATTTTAAACTAAATATGCTAATTCACTCTCCAGCGATCTGTTACAAGAATGAATACACAGTGGACAGTTTTGGCTGTTATGTAATTAACTATTCAATGTTCCCTTTGTCTTCACATAATGACCATGTGTCTACTTTTCTGGATTCAGGATAATTGGGAGTGAGGAAAAAGAAAATCTTTAATAACAAAATTTCCATTACTTGAGTACTAGCAAGTGAAAGCTTTGCTGATGTAAAAACCTAAAGCAATGTCACCTAGATATCCAAAAGATTAATTATGTGTGATTTATTCTGCCTCCAACTCAAATATGGTGAGAACCAGTACTAGACTAGGTTACATCTGGCTATGTCATCAGAAAAAAGAAGCAGGCTCAAGAGAGTTGCATTAGCTCTGAAGTTCTTAATTATTCTTATGGCCAAATAAATGCCCTGTATTTGCTGAATATTGAATTTGAAAACCTCAGGATCTAATCAGTTCAGAGAGATGTTGAGTCTGACCACAGACCTCTCAACAAGAAAAATGCCCATTGTTAAAACTTTATTTGTGGTTTTAAAGTAAAACCATGGTGGACATATCTCACAAATAATGATACATCTCTATCTAAGTAGAAATAAAGATTTTCATGGTTTTTACCTCTATCATGTTTCCAACGCATGAAAATGAAACAAATATGCAAAATAGTCCAATTCAACATGCCATTTGTAATTTGTTTCTTAAGTTATACTTGTTATTCAAAAATATAATTTCAACAGAAACTCTAAATTAAATAACAAGCCAATAGAAAAGAAATCCTTTTTTAAAATTTTTTATTTTTTAATAGTTGCTCAAGACAATACAATGATCTTGACATATCATACATTTGATTCAAATGGGGTATGAATTCTCATTTTTCCACGTGTACAGATTGCAGAATCACATTGGTTATACAGCTACGTATATACATACAGCAATACTAGTGTTTGTTGTATTCTGCTGTCTTCCGTATCCCCCCTCTCCTTTCCTCTCCTCCCATCACTTCTCTACCCAATCTACTGTGACACAGAAAAGAAATCCTTAATATTGATATAAAAAGAAAGTTTTATTACTTAGCTTCAAAGAATTTAGCATTACCTCTTCTACATTTTATAATTTAATTGATATAATTTGGAAAGGAAGGTGTTATGATTTGGATCTGAAGTGTTCCCCAAAGGTCATGTGCAAAAGGGTTGGTCATCAGCCTAAGGCACTATTGGGAAGTGGTACAACCTTTAGGTGGGACTTAGTTGGAGGAAATAAGTCACTGTGGGTGTGCCTTTGAAGAGTATATTGGGACACCTGCCCCCTTTCTCTCTTTCTTTCTGTCTGCCACAAGGTGAAAACCTTTGCTCCACCACATGTTCTCCACCATGATGTTCTGCCTCATCAAAAACAAAACAAAACAAAAAACAAAAACAAACAAACAAACAAACAAACAAAAACAAAACAAAACAAAACAAAACAAAACAAAAACAGTGCCAAGTGACCATGGACTGAAACTTCTAAAATTGTGAGCCTTCCTCATTTATTTATCTTAGGTGTTTTGTCATAGTGAGGAAAAGCTAACACAGAGGGCCAAACAGTGGTAATTTGGATTTGTAACAGACACTTTTGAGGCATTTCCAGAGAGCACACTAGACCATTTAGCATATCACATTCTCAGGGGTTTTGCAAAGCTTAATCTTACATAATTTGGGAGACCTCTTTAATAAAACAAATACAAAATCATGAATACAAATTACTAAAGCATCTCTGAGGACCTGGAACAGCCCAGGTTAATGAAGTTTATGGAAGGGGATATTGCTCATATACCTTAATGGTAGAGAGCTTTCCTAGCATGCTCAAGGCCCTGAGAGGCATGGTGTCCTACCCTGTAATCCCAGCTGATAATTTTATTTCAACTCTATTAGATTGTAGGTGCAAATGAAGCTGAGGCAGGAGGATTGTGGGAGCTTGAGGCCAGCCTCAGCATCCACGTTTCAAAAAAAAAAAAAAGGTGAATTTCAACTTTCCTTGGGTTCATGATAATCCATCTTAGCTCCTTCTCTGAAACAGTTGCCTTATCCCTACTGCCCAGTCATTGCCTATAAATTGATAGCAATAATTGCTTTTCTCCAACATTATGGAGCCAGAGCCACTGCTTGCTTTCTTCAAATGCATCATATAGTAGATAATGGGGACAAGAGCAGGTTGATGCCCTGTTACACTCTCAAAGCATTTGAACACCACTATGGTTTTCTGGGCCACTGTCTGAGAATGGGAGTTCCACCTCATCCTGGAGGTCCCCATAGGTACAAACAGAAGAAAAAGATTTAAATGGGGCTGGGGATGTGGCTCAAGTGGTAGCACGCTCGCCTGGCAAGCGCGCGGCCTGGGTTCGATCCTCAGCACCCACATACAAAGATGTTGTGTCCGCCAAATACTAAAAAATAAATATTAAAAAAATTTCCTCTCTCTCTCCCACTCTTTAAATAAAAAAAAAAAAAAAACAGAAATCTCTTACCTATCAAATGACTCCTTGTCCTTCCAGGTTACATTGCATATATCTCTTCCATTAAGCCTCTCCTGTCTTTGCAATACAGTGTCAATTATATGTTTAAAAAAAAAAAAAAAAAAGATTTAAATGGAGACAACATAGCTAGACTGTTAGCTTCTGAGTGTTTCTCAGAAGCATGAAATCACTGAGGCTGAAGTAAAGGACTTCAAGCAAAGAATATGACTCACCCTGTTGTATTTTCTAATTAAGAGGAAAAATAAATTCTCTGGTCTCAGTTTCTCCCACCAACAAAGGGGACTGTTCTGGATCATCATTAAATATCCTCATCACCTTAGAATTCCTCCACAGTCCTTTATTCTGCTGGTTATTACTGAAAAGATTACTTAATAATACTATTGCTCTGTAAGATGAACACCAACAAAAAGCTGTTATTAAGGTTATATTCAT